ATCACGCGATTTCCAGGGTCATTTCTGTCACCAAGGCCGTATTTTCCAACTACCAAATCCTTCTTTGTTTCCAACTTTTGAATTCCAATCACCAGTAAATATCAGTGAATGCTGATTGCATGATCAATTTCAGACTGCAAAAGTTGGTAAAAATACTCAATTTCTTCATATTTGGCCTCAGTGGTTGGTGCGTAAATTTGAATAATAGTCGTATTAACTGGTCTTCCTGGTACGCGTATAGATATTATCTTGTCATTGACAGTGTTGTACTTCAGGATAGATCTTGAAATGTTCTTTTTTGATGCTAAATGCAGTGTCATTCCTCTTCAATTTGTCATTCCCAGTGTCATGGACTGAATTATGTCCCCCCAAAAATATGTGTATCAAGTTTGGCTGGGCCATGATTCCTGCTATTGTATGATTTTCCTATATGCTGTAAATCCTGCCTCTATGATGTTAATGAGGGAGGATGAGCAACAGTTGTGTCAGTGAGGCAGGACTCAATCTACAAGATTGGACTGTGTCCTGATACAATCTCTTGAGATATAAAAGACAGAAGTGAGCAGAGAGACAGGGGGACCTCATACTACCAAGAAAGCAGAGCCAGGAGCAGAGCGAGTCCTTTGGACCCGGGGTCCCTGCACAGAGAAGCTCCTAGTCTAGGGGAACACTGATGAGAAGGCCAAGAGAGAGAGGAAGCCTTTCCCTGGAGCTGATGCCCTGAATTTGGACTTTTAGCCTACTTTAGTGTGAAGAAATACATTTCTCTTTGTTAAAGCCATCCACTTGTGGTATTTCTGTTAGAGAACACTAGATGACTAAGACACCCGCCATAGTAGACCATAAGATTTTCTGATTCAAAATGGCCAATACCAGTCCATTTCAACTCACTGACACCTAGGATATTGATCTTTATGTGTTCCATTTCATTTCAAAAGCATTAACTGAAGTAAAAGCATAGTCACTCTGATATACTTATCTACAGATTACATTATTTATTTACACAATTCCTCCCACTTTTACAAGTATTCTGAAGCAGAGAAAAGAGCATAATCTTTTAAATCAGATAGACCTGGGTTCAAATCCTAACTCTGCCACTTAGTAGCTGTGTGATATTGGGCAAGCGTAGCCTCTCTGAGCTTCAGTTTCGTTATCCTTAAAATGGGAACAATGTTTACCTTACATAATTTGTAAGGAATAAGTCGAAAAGAAATAAATCAGATAAAGATATACAAAGTATCTGAACAATACTAAGACTTAATATTGTAAAGATGTCATTTCTTCACAAATTAAGTGTATTCTAAATCCAAATCTCCATAAAACTTTTTCATGCAATTTGACAAGCTGTTCTAAAATTCGAAATTTTAAAATTCTAAGTTCTAAAATAGAAGAAATAAATAAAATAAATTCCAAATTTTAAAATAAAATAAAATACCCTGTTCAGCCTCTCCTTTGAAACCCTGTTGGGCAGTTCTACTCTGTCCTATACCATAATTATGAGTCGGAATCGACTCGACGGCAAGTAGTTTGGTTTTTTTGGTTCTAAAATGCACCTGGAAGAGCAGCTACAGAAAAATATCCAAATGAAAGAAAAAGAAAAACCCATCAGGGCAATTTTGCTGATAGTTTTGAAAATACTATAAAGCTAAGTAATTAAATCAGCATGGTATTAGCATGTTGTTGTTGTTCTGTGACGTTGAGCCGATTCTATCTCATAGAAACCCTACAGAACAGAGCAGAACTACCCAATAGAGTTTCTGAGGCTACAGTCTTTATGGAAGCAGACTGCCACACCTTTCTGCCTTGAGCTGCTGGTGGGTTTGAACCACAGACCATCCTGTTAGCAGCCCAGTGCTTAACCACTACTCCACCAGAGCTCTTCTGGTATTAGCATGTTGTTGTTCTGTGCCATCGATTCAATTCCGACTCATAGTGACTGGATGGAACAGAGCAGAACTGCCCCACAGGGTTTCCGAGGAGCAGCTGGTGGATTCGAACTGCCGACCTTTTGATTAGCTGCCTGAGCTCTTAACCACTTCACCACCAGGGTTCCATAGGTATGGACAAATACATTAATGAAAAAGAATGAAGTCCAGAAACAGACTTAGGTACATGGAGATTTTGCATATCATAAAGGTAGAAGGGTATATATAAACTATACAATCAAGTATTGGGTCAAGTGGCCATCTTTAATAAAAAATTAAATTCCTACCTCATTCCATACACCCCTACATAACACATAAATCCCAGATGGATTCAAGTTCTAAAAAAAACTACTAGAAGAAAATACAGAACATTTATAAGTGAGTTGGGAAAGGCCCTAAGATAGAAAACTCAGAAGCTATCGCTCTCACCATAGAATAAAGAAAGTTATATATTTTATTTTTGTATTGCAGTTTCTTCCTATCAACAGTAATGAAGCAAATCTCATCCAATGTTGTATTCTGATCATGCTGCAAACATCTTTTCTGCACTTAATTAAAAATATATATATAGATATAAAGGAACAATGTGGCAAGTACCTATTTAAAAAGACAATTTCCCTCATTTAATCCAAATACAATGAAGCAATTTCCTACTGAGTGACTGAGCACCTTAATGATCTAAGAGCTGGTGGTTTACAACCACATATAATTAACCTAACAATGTATAAAATGCAATGTAATAAAAGTCAATTTAAAAACTGTAACAATAGCTTGGGGGTGGTATCTGACCTCCAACCTCACAAGGTGGAAGGAGAACCAAGATCAACACCTAAGGCTGATTCCTACGAGGTGGATGTCAGACCCCACCTTCTTCTCTCTGCCATCTCTACCAATTCTGACATCAACTGTCCCTCCCACAGCACTCTCCACTGGGTTTGATCATTGCAATGGCCACAAAGAACTTACAGATCATACAATTATGGGGTATATTAGAGAAGTAACAGTTACAATTCAGCCTCAAGAACACTCAGGATACAGTTCTTCCATCAGGATAGCCTCTCCCCAGCTGTGCTTGCAGGCATGCCTCTCCCTGGCCCTCAGTCTCTGCCCAAAGGCAGTCAGCTTTCTGTCTGTGGGCCAGGAAGCCCACCTTGCCCTCTCCTTCTGCTGGTAACTTGCCTTCTTTGGTGGTGGTGGGCTCCTCCTTTCTGCTCTGGAATTGGCTCTTTTAAGGCAAAACTGACCAATCCCCTTGGATTACCCTACCACACAGTCCAGCCCAATCACCTGGGTGGGAGTTACAAGACCATGGATAGACAGGCCACACAAAAGTAATCAATCAGTAATCAATTGCACTGCAAAAACAAATACACACTATGCTTTCATGATTCTAAATTGTATTATAATGCAGATTTCTTAATTCATGATCATTTACTTAAGAGCAATGACATTTTGAAACCTAGAGCTTGAAAGACTCAGAAAGTCTAACTATATTAGGTAATCGGAAGGCAAAGCAAAACTTACAGTATCCAACATTTTTGGCCTTCATTTGTAATCCAATAAAGAACAAAAATGTGCTAAGTGGTTTTTTTGTGGGGAGGGAGGGAATGACAACCTTGGGATTATGGTTTAATATGTTGACAAATTATTTTCAAAAGCTTTCTCTTAAGGTTATTCATCTGAACGGCTTTCACTTATATATTATCAGTTGATTTCACATAATGGGAAAAGTATTTGTAACTGGTTACAGCAGATTCAGCATCTATAAGTGGAATGTAAGATATCAAAGGTACTTCTCTGGGACACTTCCCATCATTGTTTTTTCCTCCAGATCTCAGATCTCATTTCGCTCTGCCTCACCACACCGATAACCTGTTATTTCAGGTCACAGTGCCTTTTCCCCTAGACTCAAAATGTCACTCCTATCCTTTGGTCCCTGCAGTAATCAGGTAGGTACCTTTTCTAAAGTTTAGTAAGGAATGTTACTGTTGGCAATGATCAGGAAATTGACAAGATGTAAAAGTAGTAAAGGAAACAACTGAAGCTACAAACGCAAAGATTTCACAAGTTATCTTTATAATATATTCAAAAGAACTAGAAAAGATCTGTTAGATCTGCTATTGGTCTTCCCACTAATTCTAGTCTTGAGACAAAGCCAGTCTCCCATTGCCTAAGCCACTATTATTCAACAAGACTACTGTACTTTGGTCTTATACGAAAAAATTTCTATTCTATCTTTAAGGGAGGGCCAAATCGGAAGAGATGGTTAAACTTTGTATCTCAAGAAGACAGTCATTTACAACTCAGAGAAAACTTCAGGTTATCATCTCACATTCTTATTTTAAAAATTCTTATAACGTCACTCATTCTAGGACAACCTCAAAGTTACTTTCTAAAAACACCAGAAATCTAACACAATGCTTAGTGCTTGCTCTGGTGCTAAGGGGCTGGGGATATTCTTTCTTCAAAAGCGGAAAAGGCGAAGCGCTAAGTCTGACGTCTGAAGAGAGAGACAGAAGACCTTCCAAATTTGCAGTGGTGGTTTGGCGGAAAGAAAACATCCTTTGTCACTAGAAAGATCGCAAACCCTTGGCCCATGGCTAGCCAAGCCGGGAGCGTCCGGTACACTCCCGCCCAGGCAAGAGGCAAGTGCTCCCAGGCTTTCGGAAAGCAGCCACAAGCTGCAGGCCCAGAAACCTCAGCGGAGAGTTGATATCTCACGTCCGGGCTCGCAACCCCGGCGGGTTCGTCACAAACAACACTAGGTAGAAACAGAAGAGAGGCCGAGGGAACGGGTCACACAGCTGTGAAACGAAGCCCACCCACCGCCTGACCGTCCCCAAGGCGACAAGCCTCACTCCCTTGGAACACTCACCGGCTGCCTCAGGCTCGCGACTACAACTCCCAGGAGGCCGCGCGGCCGACGGAGCAGGGTCCCTCCCAGCATGCAGCACCGCGGCGCCCCTGTCCCTCCCTCTTTTTTCTCCACTCCACCTACTTTTCTACCCGTCGTCGCTCGGGAGAGCCAGAGGTAAGGTGCGGGAGGTGGACCCCACGCCCTTGGCGTGTAGCGTCAGACGTTGGGAGGGGGACAGGGCGGGGAGCGGAGGGAGAATGCGAGGACGAAGGGGAGGGGAATGGAGAGGGGAGGGTAAATAGTGGGCTAGGCAGGAAGATGGCGGCCGTAGCAGAGGTGTGAGTAGAGCCGATTCTCTGTAGCTTGTTTTTTTTCTTTTCTTCCTCTCTCTTTCCTTCCCCGTTTGAGATTGGCATCAAGGGGATTGAGTTCGGGTGGCGGCGCCAGGCGCAACACAGGGGTTACGGCTACGGCGGTGGCGGCTGACGGGTGGAAGAGCAGGCTTCCTTCGCCGCTCGTCCTCCTTCCCCGCTCCGCTCGGTGTCAGGCGCGGCGGCGGCGCGGCGGGCGGACTTCGTCCTTACTCCTGCTCCCCTCCGCGTCCGAGCGGACAGTTTTACGTTCGCCATCCCCGAACCCTTCACCCCGGGGACTGGGCGCCTCCCCCGGCGCACTCCAGGGAGCGGAGGCCAGTCTCCTGCTTGGCTGTCGCGCCTCCATGTCGGATAACCAGAGCTGGAACTCGTCGGGCTCCGAGGAGGATCCGGAGACGGAGTCCGGGCCGCCTGTGGAGCGCTGCGGGGTCCTCAGCAAGGTGAGCAACCCACGGGGCCGGAACTCCCCAACTCGGGCTCACCTGCTGCGAGGCGAGCCGCTGAGGGCGTGGGGTGGGGCTAGGTGGGAGGCACGTACCGTACCGGGGCGGGGGCTGCGGAATGTGCCGAGGTGCGGGGCTGAGTCCTGCCGCAGGAGTGTCCGCGGCAGAGGTGTGGTTGGGGCTGTGAGGGACTGTCCTCCCCGGCTTTCTAGAGGCTTGGCGGCGGTGGTGGCCGAGGACTGGGGGAAATGTGTGCAAGCCAGAGCTCCAATTTGGGAGGCGGGATGCGCACCATGACTTGGGACCTTGGACGGCAGCTGCCCCGGGTGTAGAAATCTGAGTTGGACAACAACGATGTTAGAACAATTCGGCCCGGGATCAGTGTAAATCGGACTAACCCAAACGAGCTTAGTCCGGAGATGCTGAGCGGAGTAGGGTTAGGGGGCTCTGCGGACGCAGCAGTGTAGGCAGAAGCCGAAGCAACTCGGTTTGGTGCTGAAATCTGAGGTGGTAGGCAGGATATACCCGGTTAGATGTAGACAGAGGTATGAATGAGGAGGATTTTTATACTATTTCTCCCTAGCCCCCTACTCAGTTCGTTTAATCGACATGGGATAGTACAAGAAATATTTGTAATAACGTGGAACTGTCATAATGGAGACCGACTTTTGGCCCGGGAAAAAGAGCATTATTTACTAATAGAATATTTTTGCAGGCAAGAGTCTAGGATAAGGAAGACACTCTTACCTTTGCTGTATTTTTTTTTTTAAATTCCCTTTTCAAAATTTTAGCAAAGTAGATGGTCATTTGTAGGACTGTAAGGCTAATAATTAGTTAAAATGAATGAGGCCCTTTTTAAGAGAGAAAGTGGGTGATTTTTTGATAGTACATGGTTGTTTTGTTTTTTTAAAGTGTTTGCTATGGGAAGATTCACATAGCCTTTTCTACTTCCTTCTTCCTTCCTGTTAAACTTCTAGAAATGGCTGGAGCTTGCAGTTAACTTGCAGAGAGGAGGAGCTGGGGCCAGTCCCTTAACAATCTGATCATACGGTACTAGGTCATGTGCAGCCACTGACTATTAAGAAATCACTTAGCTTCCAGTATTCATAGTTGGCTACGCATTTGGACCTCATTTGTGGAATTGTTTCCTATTAGGCTATTAGAATGTCTTTAGAAGGCTGGTGAGAAAGGGCCTAGGAAAGGAATGTGTATGCCAGAACAAGGGCTTGCAAGTGTTAACTTTTATTTGTCCAGCAGAAAATTATAATGTGTGTTAGTACTGTGATCATTCTTGAAATTTAAGCGAAAGGTTTTCAGTTAAGTGAAGTTCCCTATGGTTTCTTTAAATTAAATGTATGTTGTAACTGAGGAATCTGTATTGAACACATTGTGTAAAACGTACCTGGATACGTTTTCAGGTGGGAATAGTTATGAAATGAGTTCCTTGCTTCTAAATGATTCTGGCAGTTTCATCACTTTTCCTTATTATGTGAGAAGCACACTGCCATGTTAGTACTGTGGTTGTGTTAAGTATTTTACAAAACAAGTTGTGTTTTTGCTCTATTGACTATCACTTTTTTGGAGGTGGTGGGTAGAGTCACTAGTGGAAAAAGAAGTCACCAGTGTTCTTGAATATTCACTGTATGAAGAGTACATTAAGAAAAAAAAAGGAAGACCTTCTCTTTGGTATTTGAATGCATAGAAATGTAGTATTTGACCACTTCCATGGAAACCCTGTTGGGGTAGTGGTTAAGTGATAAGGCTGCTAACCAAAAGGTTGGCAGTTTGAATCCACCCAGCGCTGCTTGGGAACTTTTTGGAACAGTTCTGCTCTGTCCTATAGGGTCGCTATGAGTCGAAATCGACTCGATGGCAACGAGTTTGATTTTTGGGTTTGGTATGGTGCAGTGAAAACCCTGGTGGTGTAGTGGTTAAGAGCTACTGCTGCTAACCAAAAGGTTGGCAGTTTGAATCCACCACGCGCTCCTTGGAAACCCTATGAGGCAGTTCTCCTCTGTCCTTTATGGTTGCTATGAGTCAGAATCGACTCTACGGCAGAAGGTTTGGTTTTTGGTCTTTATGGAAGGTGAATAGCTTCAGTTTTTACTGTTGCTGCATATGTGGAATTAGTAAAAATATATGTTTCAATATTATTGTCATGAACAGCTATGAAGGAAAAGTTCCTGAAGTTTAACCATTTATGGTTATTTATAATGTTCTTTGGAAGCTTTTTCATCAAGCGTATTTTATATTGAAATACAAATACTGAATATGGCACATGTTTTTAAATTTAAATGTACTTATGTATTTTGATCGGAGCCCTGGTGGCGCAGTGGTTAAGCGTCCGACTGCTAACCAAAAGGTCAGCAGTTTGAATCCACCAGCCGCTCCTTGGAAACCCTATGGGGTGGTTCTGCTCTGTTCCGTAGGCTTGCTATGAGTTGGAATCTGCTCGATGGCAGTGGGTTTATATATTTTGAGCCTTTTTATTCAGCTGGTAATTTAAACAAGAGTTAGAACTCATATTTGTTGTTTTGTTTTATATTTTATTGTGTTTTAGGTGAAAGTTGACACAGCAAATTTGGTTCCCATTTAACAAATTTTATCCAAATTGTTCTGTGACATTGGTTACAATTTTCATAATGTGTCAGCATTCTCAGTATTTCATTCTGTTTGTTCTGTTTCCATTGATCTGGCTTCCCTTCACCTCCTTGCCTTCTCATCTTTGCTTTTGGGTAAATGTTGACCATTAGCTCTCGTATAGTTGATTTTTTAAGGGATCACATTCCTCACGGGTAATATTGTTATTTCATAAGCCAATCTATTATTTGGCTGAAAGTTGATCTCCATAAATAGCTTCAGTTCTAAGTTCAAAGGGTATCTTTAGGGCAGTAGTCTTTGTGGGTTCCTCTAGTCTCTATCTGTCCAGTAGGTCTGGTCTGTTTTAAGAATTTAAATTGTTTTACATTTTTCTCTTCTGTCTGGGATCTTCTGTTGTGTCCCTGGTCAGAACAGTAGCCTAGTGAGTGGTAGCCCGGCACCATCTGGTTCTTCTGGTCTCATGTTAGAAGAGGCTGTGGCTTCTGTGGGCTATTAGTCCTGTGGACTAATTTCTTCTTTGAGCCTTTAGTTTCCTTCATTCTCTTTTGCTCCATACGAGTAGAGACCAATAGTTGTATCTTAGACGGCCACTCGAAAGCTTTTAAGACCCCTGACGCTACTCACCAAACTAGGATGTAGAACATTATCTTTGTGAACTGTGTTATGCCAGTTGACTAAGTTGTCCCCCAAGACTGTGGTCCTAAGCCTTTTAACCCAGTAAACCAATTCCACGAGTTGTTTGGATATGGCTAGGAAGCCTCCGAAACTGTGTACCTTATGTGCTTTGTTATATATATGGATATATATGCAGCACACACAAACGTATATATGTATATGCCTACAGATGCACCTGTACATGCATGTACATTTACTCTCATGTGCCTTCCTGTACACATATATACTTAATCTACCTGCGTAACCACACACGTATTTTTTGGCTGTTGTTACTGTTGTTGCAAATTTGTATATGTTATAGCATTTACTGAAATTGTCCCTTGTGTACTTGTTGGTGTCTTTATTTACCTTGGTCAAGTTGTGCTGACTTTATCCATATTTGGTATTGCCTTTCCTGTCACCAAATATAACAAGTGTCTACTATCTAGAAAGTGATTTCCTCCTCCTTCTCCCTCTCATCCTTGGTAACCATCAAAGAATGTAGCTCTCTGAGTGTATATCTATTCTTGACTTTTTACAATAGTGGGAGCATACAATATTTGTCTTTTTGTGATTGATTTATTTCACTCAGCATAACGTCCTCAGATTCATCCATATTATAAGACGCTTCCTGGACTCCTCATTATTCTTTATAGTTGTGTAGTATTCCATTGTATGTAGGTAACACAGTTTGTTTATTCATTCATCCGTTGATAGGCACTGGAGTTGTTTCCATCTTTTTGCTATTGTGAATAATGCTGCAGTGAACGTAGGTGTGTATATATCTGTTCGTGTCACTGCTGTCATATTTCTGGGACATATACCTAGGAGTGGGATTGCTGGAACATAAGGTGTTTCTGTTTCTAGCTTTTTGAGGAAATGCCGTGCTGTTTTCTATAGTGGTTGTACCATTTTACAACCCCACTATCAATGTATAAGAGTTCCAGTCTCCCCACAACCTCGCTAGCATTTGTTGTTTTCTGTTTTTTGGATCATGGCCATTTTTGCCCGGGTGACATGGTATCTCACTGTAGTTTTGATTTGCATCTCTCTAATAGTATCTGTTCTTATCCTTCTATTGAGTAATGTTATGTGCATTACTAATTTAGTCCAAATACTAATTTGTTTTGTTTCATCTCCCCCCACCCCCAATGGAGTGAATTTGGAATGGGAGAGTGTGGGAAGGTAAACATGTATTAGAAATACACCACTCCAAAGTTCTGTTTCTTTGCAGGAATCTAAAATACGTGGAAGTACCTATGAAGCTTATTTTCTATAGAATCATTTAAGGGTTGTAGGTTCCAAAAGTACTGGGTAAACAATAATTCTAGGTGGTCATAACAAACATCGATATGAATCATGGTTGGGAAAGGATTAATGCCTTAGAAACTTGAGCATGTAAATCTAGATAGAATATGTCTCACGCAGCTTCTTCTGAATTCTCTCCATCCTTTGTGGCTTACCTTACCTTCTTTTTCTCCCTAAACCTAACTGTTGGCTGAAATATTACCATCTCGAAAACTAACCGTTTTGTAAAGCTTTTTCTTATATTGCCAACTATTCGAGATCTTCCTTTGAATTGTCATAGCATTTTCATTGTAACTTACTTCTTTTACTCTAAATTTAATTATTTTCTCTTGATTTTATGCTTGCTGGACTATTGGGGCAGGAATTTTTTATTCTCCTGCAGTGTCTAGTGTATTGCCATGTCTGTATTTCTTAAATGGGAAAGAATGGGGGAACATTATGAGAGTAAAGGTGAAAACCTGCCTTCCAGGTGAAATAATAGAGCTAACATTTATTGAGCTAACGGCTGAAGCTTATGTAATTTGTTGGGCCCTGTATAAGAAATTAATGCAAAATTATGGATACATGGTTGCTTGGGCCCCTCCTGTCACTTTGGAAGAGGCCTGTTCTGCTGAGGGACCCTGAAATTTAAGCTTCATTACTGTACATAACTTTGCCTCCAACTGAATAAATACTATGTGCCAGGTACTGTTCTAATTGTATTTTTATTTAATCTTCAGAACAGCAGTAAGAAATTTTGATGAAAAAACAAAGCAAAGGTGATAAGTAACTTGCCCACAGTCACCCAGTGACTGGTCTTAGAAAAGACAGTGATTGGAAGCAAAGTAGGATTCATTTATATAGAGTCTTGAATGCTAGTCTTAAACCGTTTGTGTTGTAGGCAGTGGGGAGTCGTTAATGTAAGTTTTGGAGCTGGAGGTGAGTTAAGATAAATATGTAAAATAAGTAAATATTATTAATAAGTAAATAAAATTATGTAAGTTATGAAATAAAAAACAAGATAATAGAGGTCATTATGTCTTCTTAGGAATCTAAGAACTTGGTAATTTGATGAATTCATTGAAAAGAGAGAAAAGGAGACAAACTTAAGCGTTTAATAGAAGATGAATAGAATTTGGTGATGGGTTGTAAAGATTGAGAAAGAACAGTCAGATATTGAGTATCTCCTATAAATATGCTAGGCATAATCATTATTTTATTCAGCCCTCTAAATAACAGACTAGGAAACTGAAGCTCAGAAAAGCTAAGTAACGTGTCAAAGTTTCGCACGTGACTAGTAAAGTAGTTGAGTCAGCCTAATCCTGTATCCATTACTCTGTACAATACAGTAACCCTGAGCCAGATTTGAGTTTGAATGACTGCAGGAGTAGCAGTACAGCCAAGGGAAATAGGAATATAGGGAGGAAGTACACTTTATGAGAGGAGATGAATTCAGTTTTCTATGTAACCATCTTTATTCCAAGTAGGTTTCCATGTGATGGTAAGTCACAGGCAGTTAGAAATAAGAAAATAATGATTAGAGAACCCTTAGAAAAGATTGAGTTACATGGTCAGTAAGAGTGAGCTCTCTGAGAGAAGGGTTGTAATAACAGGGCTTAGAAAATTCAAGAGCTGAACCAATCTCAAACTGGATTAGGGACTAGGAAAATAAAGATTTTTCTCTATGGGTAAAAAGCCTGGGACAATGTGGTATATTTTAACAATCCATTTTAAATTCTGCAGATAGTTTTTGAATTACCTGTTCTTAAAACCCACAGAGCATAAAAATATGCAAAATGAAGTATCCCTATAGAAGTTACATTTCTGCCTTTGCCAATTTATTGATTGTAATTGTCATTGTGCAGCAAGACTTTAGCAACATAGAAACCATTTATAAATTCTGGAGACAATCCAGGTGTGTTTTTAAAACCAGTTTTGTATTTGTATTAGTACTCTTGCGTTAGAAAAATGTATCTTTAAAGAAACTTGGAAAATTAACTATTTTAAATGTGATATTGAGTTCTGTAAAGGAAAAATTAAAGTTGATGTAGTTATTAAAGATTAATGATATAGTATTTTTAGTCTCTGTAGTTATGACCATCACAAATTTGCATATGGGAATAATTTACAACAAAATGAAGTTTTGGCAGTGATTGGCTTCATACTTCTGTTGATTTAGAAGGCTTCATGCAGTACTTAGTGTAAGAGAATGAGAAACTGTATAACTGAACTTATTTTTCCATTGAATGTGTTAATTATGGCAGGAACCAAAACAGTTTAAGGTATCGAAGGCAGTAAGGAGGGGAGGATGAAAACACACAAAGAACAAAGCAGGATTTTTAACCGAGATCCTGTTTCAGTTTCATTCCTCAGATATTAGAGAGAGAAAGATATTATTTTTTATTAACTATTTATTTATAATTTTGTAAAAATAAAACCATTATACAGTCTAGAAGATCTCAACTTTTCAGTTTTATAATCATTTTTATTGCTTATGTGCATAATTAAGTTAGGAGTTTTCACATTTTACTTTTAAAATTAGATTGCTGTTTCAGAAAGTTTGGATTTCTAAAATACTAACTTTGTTTTTGTTTTCCTCTCTCCCCCCAACCACCTGCCCCCAGTGGACAAACTACATTCATGGGTGGCAGGATCGTTGGGTAGTTTTGAAAACAAATGCTCTGAGTTATTACAAATCTGAAGATGAAACAGAGTATGGCTGCAGGGGATCCATCTGTCTTAGCAAAGCTGTCATCACGGTAAGTTGCTGTTCTCCCTCATTCAGCAAATATTTATTGAGCATCAGCTATATACCAGGCACTGTTTTAGGCACGGGATATATCTGTGAACAAAATAGGAAAAGATTCGTGCCCTGGGGAACATACATACTGATACTGTTTTCCATAGTTATTTTGGAGTACTTATTACTACATACTATTATTTTGTACAGACATGTAGTATTTATCCAGTTGATATGTGAAACTAATTTAAGGACTTCAGAAAAAAAGATGTTAGAAGCATTCATATCTGATGGGATTGGGACAATTACTTGGTAGTTTATTGAAAACATTAAAGCAGAAAAATCATAAAAATTGAGATAGCTTATAATTTTTCATTTTAACTGAAACTGTATAAATGTGTATTTATTTGCCAAATTTTAGTTGTAGAGCAAATGCCATCTCTTTGAATGTGAATTGAGAAAACTTAATTTGTTCTTGTGTAAGCTATATCCATAATGCATGGTCTCTGATTTCCAGTATTGATTTCTCTAAAATGGAACAAAAGCTTAAAAGTGTTTTTAAAAAACCTTAAATTTAGGTCCTGTTTTGTATGTATGTGCATTTATGATTTGTCCCTACTATTTTACAGTTGTCTCACTTTTATCTAATTTAGTATCTTTTAAAGAAATGGCTCACCTTTATTGGGTCATTTTACTTAGTTTACATTCAACTTAGTTTACATAGAAACAACTCTTTTTGCACTCATATCCCATAGACTTACATAATATTTAATTAAAATATGTAAAGATTACAAGTATAATTGACATAAACAGGTTTGGGAACAAGCAGCTGAGCTTTGTTAAGCGTATAACTCAACTAGTGGAATAAGAAGTGCCTGATTATGATAAAAATAATGCATATTAGCTGAAAGTGCCATAAACATATTTATAAAGGGCAAAAAGAATCCTGGCTAAGACAGGTCACTGAAATGGAGGTCAGTTAAGGGATCTATTGTAGCTATAATCTAAAAATGAATATGCTAAAACTTAAAGAAAAATCATAGATTTTACTGATGCATTCAAAGAGAAGTCAAAATTTCTTAACGATAGAATCTGTGTTGCTTATAAAAGTAAAATATGTACTTTGGATTTGTGTTGATAGCTAAATCCTATATTTTTATGTTACACATTTAAGGAAAATCTTACAACATTTTTACATCATTTGTATATGTTCTGCCCTCCTTGTATATTCAAAGTTTGAAAACAAAAAACAACTAAGTACTTGAGAGGCTTAGTTGAATATCGAGTTAGAAAAACTTAAGGGGCAATTGTTTGGAAGCATTGATAATGAAACTGGTACCCTACATTCTTAGAGACAGTTTTTTTTTTATTGTGCTTTAAGTGAAAGTTTACAATTCAAGTTAGTCTCTCATGCAGAAATTTATACATACATTGTTCCGTAACCCTAGTTGCTCTCCCTATACTGTGACAGCACACTCCTCCTTTCCACTTGGATTTCCCGTGTCCATTCAACCAGCTGCTGACCCTCTGCCTTCTTATCTCACTTCCGGACAGGAGCTACCCATTTAGTCTTATGTATCTACTTGAGCTAAGAAGCATACTCTTCACGAGTTTCATTTTATATCCCGTAGTCCAGTCTAATCTTTGTCTGAAGGGTTGGCCTCGGAAATGATTTTAGTTTTGGCCTAAGAGAGGGTCCAGGGACCATGTCTTCCAGGGTCCCTCCAGTCTCAGTCAAATCATTAAGTGTGGTCTTTTTACTAGAATTTGAGTTCTGCACTCTAATTTTCTCCTGCTCTGTCAGGGACTCTCTGTTGTATTCCCTGTCAGGGCCGTTATTGGTGGTAGGCAGGCACCATCTAGCTCTTCTGGTCTCAGACAAATGAAGTCTCTGGTTTATGTGGCTCTTTCTGTCTCTTGGGCTAATACTTTTCTTGTGTCTTTGGCGTTCTTCATTGTCCTTTGCTCCAGGTGGGTTGGGACCAGTTGATGCATCTTAGATGGCCGCTGCTAGGTTTTAAGACCCCAGACGCCACTAACCAAAGTGGGATGCAGAACATTTTCTTAATAAACTTTGTTATGCCAATTGACCTAGATGTCCCCTGAAATTATGGTCTCCAGACCCCTACCCCTGCTACTCTGTCTCTCGAAGTGTTTGGTTATCTTCAACAAACTTCTTAGCTTTGGTTTAGTCTGTTTGTTCTGACTTCCCCTGTAGTGTGTGTTGTGTTACAGACAATTGTAAAGAAATATTTTGAACATAATGGCTTAGTATTTATTTTAAGTAGTATGTGGTACATACATGGAGATTTTGAAATTGTGTGGTTTAATATTTTGGATGTTTTATTTCTTTTTTGAAATAGTTCAAGTATTCATGCTGGGAAACAGAATAGTAGATGGAAAGACACTTAAAGTGTCTTCACTTGGTCCTTGCTCCTCCCCCCTTTTGTTCATATTATCAGAGGCTTATTAGTTACAATGCTTGACACTTTGAAAATAATATGCTGGTGGTTAATGTGAAAGTGAATAGGAATGAAATTTTATCTTTTTCTTTGTTAAGTAGTGGTAGTCCTAGAAGGAGCCCTAGTGGCGCAGTGGTTAAGCTCTTGGCTGCTAACCAAAAAGTTGGTTTGAACCCACCCAGCTACTCTGCAGGAGAAAGACCTGGCAATCTGCTCCTGTAAACATTACGGCCTAAAAAACCCTATGGGGCCAGTTCTGCTCTGTCACATGGGGTCAAAATCAACTTAACGGTACCTAACAACAACAGTATTTCTAGAGACCATGCTAGTTTTTATAAATATAGGTATCCTGTCTTGAATTATGGACTGCAGTAATAGTGCATGGCTATTTTTGGGTAAAAGGATATTTGTAATAAGCATTTATGTTGCATCTGCTCAGGAAAAAAGAAAAGTTCATTTTTTTTTTATTATTATTATAGCTTTATTTATATACAGAATGCTCATAGTAGTACATAGTCAAAGAAATGGGTAAGAAAGTGAGACAACTTGAATACTTTGGAAAGAGATGGGGAAGGGAGCTAGCAGAAGTATTCACTGGATTATGTAATAGAGAAGGTAAAAAGATGAGTGAAGCAGCAGAATCTAAATGGTAGTTAGTGTTGGATATAGTGAAACGGATGGTAGGGAAAAACACATGTGTTTGTATTTCTGAACTCTTCAACTTTAATTTTATTCCTTGCTCAGTGATGTGCACAGACTCCACGTTACATATTTCAAGGAAATTATAAAAAATGGCTGAATTCTGTGAACTTCTCAGGATGAAGTTTGCAAATAGAATATGTACTTTAGCTAAATAAAAAAGTAATACTAAAAAAAAAAATAATATTCTTTTCTGTTAAATAAGAATCCCTTGCTAATTTTTTTTAATATGGGCTATTACCTGTATCACTTCCTCTCTGAAGGCAAATGATAATCTTGAATTTGTTCACATAGCACCTTTATGAAATTGATAATATTCATATATGAAGAAATCTGGACTTGAGTTTTTACTGTAACCATTTATTACTGTACATTAGACCTTGGTGGACCTTAGTTCCTGAGCCCACCTTTTTTGATAAAGTCTGATTTATTGTTAAATTGACTCTTATTTTAGTGTAATAATTGAGTTATTCTTAATTTACAAAAATCGCGTTTTTTAGCCATGTGATAATGAATTAGGTGAAATGTTTTAAAGGAAGAAAGAATTTCCTGCGAATATTTATTACCTGGAAATAATTTTTAGTGTGAAGGATTTTGGAGTAAGTGAGTGAAAAGAGAAAAACAGTACTTCTTCACCTTTGTCTTTGTGAACAAAGATGAGCTGTCTGTATATAGAGTAAATTTTTGTAGAAAGGAAGTTGAATTTCTCACATATAGCTTAATATAACTTGGAAACCCTGGTGGCGTAATGGTTAAGCGCTATGGCTTCTAACCAAAAGGTCGGCAGTTCGAATCCACCCAGTGCTCCTTAGAAACTCTATGGGGCAGTTCTACTCTGTCCTATAGGGTCGCTATGAGTTGGAATTGACTTGATGGCAATGAGTTCAGTTAATGTAACTTGCAGCCTTGCTTAAGGCCCAGCCCCCTGCAAAATCTGCCATATGGTAGATGCTGAATATGTGTTAGTTGTAATTGCTTCAACTCCAAAGCAAATGCTTATGGAGCACTTAAACTGTTCTTGTATTATTATTATTATGATGATGTTTTAAAATAAGAAGTATATGGTAAGAAAATAGAATTTTTGGCATTAAAATGCTTCTCTTTCCTCTTAGTCATGCAGTCAAGAAGTAACCAAAGTCAAATTTCTGGTATATCCTTCCAAAAAAATTAACATGTCTTGTCAAGTATTTATTTGTTTATATCCTTCATTTATTTACACAAGTAGTATCATACTAAATCTATTGTTCTACACCTTGTTTTCTTTTGATAGATTTTGAACATTAGCAACTACATTTTATTGCTTTGTATGGATGTACTGTTACTTATTTATTTTTCCTTTCCCTATTCTTGGACATTTAGATGGTGTTCAGTTTTGTGTTATTAAAAACATTGTTGGAACAAATATATATACTTTAAAAAAATTTTTATAAATATTGTCAAATTGCCTTTTCAGAAGAGTACCACTTTTCACTTCTACGAGCAATGTGTGAATGTCTTTATTTCCCCATAACCTGAAGTATGACAAAGTTGGGTTTTAGCAAATATTAAAATATTTGTTGAACTACTAGATTAAAAACAATATTTTAATACCTTAAAATAAATTTTTTATTCATGGAATTGAATGAGTCTTATATTTATGGCCCATTTATAGTTCTTTTTCCTCTTTCTGCCAATCACTTACTCATTCTCTTTATCTTTTAAAAAATTTTTCTATCCTTATTGATTTGTGCAACCCTGGTGGGGCAGTAGTTAAGCATTCGGCTGCTAACCAGAAGGTTGACAGTTTGAATCCACCAGCTGTTTCTTGGAAACCCTATGGGGCAGTTCTGGTTCTGCTCTGTCCTGTAGAGTCACTATG